CCCTATGGGGGTGAGCACCCATTCAATCTGAACATAGCTCCTAGCTCTGAGTCCCAGAAATCCTCTGTCCAGAAAGTGCCAATCTTTCTCCAGGTCTGACCTTGAGATCATGTGACATTTTTTGAACAGACCTGCTCCAGACTCTCCATGAGTCAAGACTTCTTAACCTTTTTTGTGCCTTGAGGAGTCTCAGGAAGCCTAGGGACCCCTTCTTGGAGTAATGGTTTTAAATGCATACCAAAAAAATGTGTAGCATTGTAAAGGAAACCAATTATATTGAAATACTGTTATCGAAACATTAAAAATATAAGTTTGCAATATAGTAAGTTATGTGTATCTTTATAATGTAGTAAAAAACAAAAAGTCCAATGACTGTTACACTTCCATAGTGATGAGCATAAACGATATCTCCAGATATCTGCCACCACCGTATGGTGATGTGAAAATATCACAGAGGCTCTGTGGTTTCTTGCCTTCATTCCTAATGGGAGAAAGTGGTAAATTTCAGTTAGAGGTTACTGAGATACAGATGTAATGCATTCCCCATGTGAGTTCATGAAGCCCTGAGTTCTGCCCATGGGCCCCTGTGAAGGGAGTGCTAAGTGAAGGGGAGCCAGGTGAGTGAAATGCTGTCTGAGAGGAGACACAGGCCTCACCAGCCCACTTCCTCAGAACCTGATTAAAACATGAGAATCTATCATAATCTGTTAATGGAGTCACAGAATCACAGGCTTCCAGAGCTGGAAGGACCAGAACCCCTTCCTCAAACACCCCCACTGGGTGATCTGGCTCTTGGCTTCTGCTTGCACACCTCTAGAGATGGGGAGCTCACTCTCATTCCAGGACTGGACAGCTCCAGCTTCTCTGAGCAACGGTGACACACAGAGATGAATCAAACCCAGGCTCTGTCCCCACAGCTAGAGGATAGAGAAAGAGAATGACCCAACTAGAGCTAAAATGCCTTTTTTATTCAACTATCATTTTCTGAGCTTCTGCTTTCCGCCAGTCTAGAGTTTGGCACTGGATATACTGAGACTTACTTTCGTAAAGTATTTGCTGGGTGTGAGCTCAGGCGTGGTGCTCAGTATTAGGTGCTATGGGTGACAGGACATGATGCTTTCCCTCTGGGAAGACAGACATTAAGTGAGTAAACGTGGAAATCCATACGTAATTGCAATTTGTGATAATGGCTGTAAAGAGGCAAGCAGGGGAGACTCGGAAAGAGGGACGTCAGATGTGGGAGAGGGGAAATAAAAGAAAGCCCCTTAGAAAATATGACACCGAAGGCAAGACTTAGAGGATTCATTAGATCTGCAAGGCAAATGAGACCGGAAAGGCAGTGCAGGCAGAGGGAAGAGCAGCTATGGAGGAGGTCCTGATCTGGGAAAGAGCTTGGCCACTGTTAGGATTGATGGGGGACACTGGGGCTGGAAGAGGCTGGAGAGGAAGGTAAGGGCATATTGTGGGGTCTTTAAGCCTTCAAATGCTGAAAAATTTGCATGTTATCTTAAGGGCTACTGGAAGCTCTTAAGGGGTTTACACAGGGATGTGTTTGAATGAATAAAAGAAAGTCTCCAGGAGCACCTAGGCTTGCAGCAAAGACATTAACAAGATGAAATATTATAAGAATGAGTGAAAAAGCTTTTATTTTTATGCTCTAAACACCCTTCTTGAATGTATCTCCCTGCTTTTCTTCAGGCTGAGCTCTCTGCCCGGATGCCTTCCCCCAGCTGCCTTTCTGCTCCGTCGGTCCAACAATTCAGCTAACTTTTTCCAGGACACCTTCCTGAACAATTTAGTCATTCACGCTTCCCTACAAGCACAGCCCTGAGCATGCTATGTGCACTGTTCACAGTATCCCTGACTGTTTACATGTCAGTGTCCACCCTCCCTCCTCCAGACTACCCATGGAAGAGGGCAAAAGCAGGGTGGGGATGCAGGGGGGGCGGGGATGAGGAGGAGCTGGAGGGAGGAGAAGTTGCAGAATGTTCAGCAGTAACCTGGCCCTCCTCTCTACCTTCCCCAACTAGTCTGGGATTGGAGCTGGACTCTGCCACTTGCTGGCAATAACTGGAATGGCAAGCAGGATGGGATGGGCAGAAAGATGATTCCTGCAAACAGTCTAGGCCCTTCTTAGCTTTTCTACGGGGTAATCACACAAGGTCTAGTTAGATGGAGGGCCTGTCTAAGGTGGCCCAATGATTCAGGGTGGCAGAGCTGGGCTGGGAACAGGAGGGAGAAACTGAATATTAATGGAGCAGCAGCTTAGAGATGAGGACACAGAGTCCAGCCCCTGGAGCTGCTGAGGCCTGAGTCCAGATCTTGGTTGCAAGCCAGACCTGCAGGGACCTAATTTGTTGCCATGGGGACCTGGGGCTGTGTCCATACAGCTGGGGAGATGACACCCCTCAGCTGGATGAGGACACTCAGAGAGCAGGGATCAGCCTCAAAGCGGGTGTCCACCCACACCCCCTTTTCCGGAACAATTTGTTTTGCTCTAAAGCTTGGGACTTTGACCTGGGAGACGTGTTTTCCTCCTGTTGGTCACCTGATGTCCTTCCTGCTCATCTCCCTCCCCCACCACCCCCAAAGCATGGCCTAGGGTGTCCCTGTCCTTCCCCAGCTTCTTTAGGGAAGGAGCGGGGAGCTTGACACTTGGGTGAGGGAAGCAAGACCTGGGACTTGGGGACTAATAAGAGAAGCTGGGATGCCCTTGGGGTCACCAGCTGGAGGGGGTGTCACAGCAGTGACTTCTCTGCTCATGTCTTATCTTCTTGGATCTCTCTTTCCTGGGTTTCTGGGATGCCCCCTCTTCTGGGATTTCTTCCTCTTGCTCTATCCTCACTCTTCTTCGATGAAAGACGCTTTCATGTTGGAGCTCTGTCCTGGTCACACACACACACACACACACACACACACACACACACACACCCTGAGGAGGCCATGCCCTCCCATGCCTCAGTTACCAATGCTGTGCCACAGACGGCTCCCAGATCTAGCTCCCAGATCTACTCCAGGGATCCTGCTGCTTTACACACACACACACACACACACACACCCACACCCTGAGGAGGCCATGCACTCCCATGCCTCAGTTACCAATGCTGTGCCACAGATGGCTCCCAGATCTAGCTCTCTCTACTCCAGGGATCCTGCTGCTCTCTGGACGTTTCCCTCTGGGGGATAAACAGGCACCACAAGCACAATACATCTAAGCCTGTAGCTCATCATTCCTCCCCACATCCTGAAACTTGCTTCAGCCCTCTCTGTTGTAGGCACCGCCATTCTCCAGCTGCCCAAGCCAGAAACTGGCAGTCGCCCTCAGCTCCTCCCTGCCTCTCTCCCTGTTAGTCACTGTGTTCTTGCGATCGCTCCCTGCCTATTCTCCCAAGTGGGGATCAAATCCATTCCCACAGCCACTCCCCTGGTGCATGCTGTAGCCCTGCTTGTGTGGTTATCTAGCAGCCTCTCCATGGTCTCCCTTCCTGCTGTCCTGGCACTCCCCTTCCATGTTCCACTCTGTCCAGAGGTGTTTTCTCAACTGCAAACCTGACTATGCGACCCTCAGCTTAAACCCCTTGAAGAAGGCATCGTGGATGTTTGTTCAATTCAACCCCATTCCTAGCATTCCGGACAGTGATTCCGTGGTTGTTCATTAACACGCATGGTGCCTATTCTAGGCAAACTTTGTGCCAGAAGATTCTGAGGACACCAAGTTGGGATAGGGAGGGAGAACAGGACATACATGTATGGGAGGCACCACTCAACTCCAAGCCAAGTTCCCCTCGATCACCTTGAGACACCCCATCTTTGGATGGTACTGGGCCCGCGACACTGGCATGTGCACCCACACATCCACACACATGTGGGAAGCAGGGACAATATGCTGTGTCTGCGTGCTGCTCCTGGAAGCCCTGTCCTGTAGTAGAAAGAGCTGTCTTGGAGGTTCTGTGAGCCACAGTTTGGTTGCTTCTGGCCATGGAGGCTATGGATGGGCTTTCAGCTCATGCCCTGGCTTCTGGGGACCCTCCATCTCTAAAACTTTGCCCCAGTCTGCTGGCTTCTTCTTTCCTGGTGTCTATGGAGCTGGATTATCAGCATCTCTGGCTTCAAGTACTCCTGGGGAGGGTTTGGGTGAGGAGACTCAGCATGACCCTTGGTCATGCTGTTCCAGAGCTGGAGGGCCTGACAGACACCATATGATCCTGGGGGTGAGGGCCCCAGATCGGACCTTGCCACCTGGGAGTATCCTTCCTTTGCCCTCCACAGCGGGGCTGTGCTCCCCAACTTCTTTCCCTGTGTGGGGTAGAGATGGATCAGAGGTATGTGTAGAGACTTCTGACGGAGCCCATATCTTGTCCCAGGAAAGCTCTACCCAGCTTCCAGGAACCACATCTGGGGCCAAGAGGAAGAGCCAAACTAAGCCAGATCAGTTCGGGTGGGTAGGGAAGGCTGGGAACCGGGGACTTCAGAACCTCCGTCATGACCCCCATGGGAGAGGGTAGATTTAGAGAACTGTCGAGCTGGGCTGGGGGTAGAGGAATGAATAGAAGTCAGGGCCGTGTCTCAGGGCTGTGTCCCAGGAGTGAGAGTTGGCTGAGTATGGGCAGGTGAGGAGAGAACAGAAAATAGACCGGGCTGTGTGGGAGGGGGCAGATTTGACCTTTCCCTAGCCTCTGAGGTTTCCCCCTCTCAACCCCAAGTCAGTCAGCAAATTTCTTAATCCCACTATCAGCCTTCCAAGAAGCCCCACCCACTAGACTCATTCATGGCAGGAACAAATAATATGTCGCTTTGTTCCCCAGAGCCCAGCCCCACTGCCAGGAAGTTTTTGGAGGCAAAAACTCCAGGGGCTTGGAGGTTATGCCCTAATTCTCCCCACATTCTCCCTGTCCAAAGACCCACTTCCTTAGCCAGCCTCTGAAAGGTGACCTCAAATGCCAGATCGAGTGGGCTGGGCACCAGCCAGGGAGGCCAGTCCTGGCAGCTCATTACCATGGGAGGGAGGGCAGTTTCTCTCCACCTTCCCTCCTCCTTCCTCCCTCACCTTCTTCCTTACCAGCTCCTCTCCTCCAGGACCAGACTGAGCTCAGGCTGATCTCAGCACACACCGACAAACCCCACTGCTGCTCCAGGAGCCCAGAGAATAGCAGCCGGAGGGAAGGCTCGGGAGCTGCCTCAAGCCATGTCAACCCTCAGCCTGGTCATTCTGGGCCTGCTCACAGCAGTGCCACCCGCCAGCTGTCAACAAGGTAGCATAGAACTGGGCCCACAGGGTTGCCGTGGTGAGGAGGGCTGGGCTGGGTGCTGACAACCCAGGTGTAGATGGATTGGCGGGGGGGTGCGTGGTTCTGGCCTCTTTCACTACCCTGTACACCTGTAGCTGGAGAGAGGAGCAGGGGTTTGGAGGAACCACCACCAAAGGCAGAAACCTCAGAGCCAGGCTTCTGTCTGTGACTTGTTTTCCATGAGTGAGAAATGTGCATGGCATGGGAAACGTCAGGACTAGGATTGGGGAGAGGAGTTGAGACCCAAGCTCCAGGAGCAGAAATTGCCCCAAAGGTAGCTGGGTCCTGAGGACAGGAGTCAGGGGCTACAAGGAGGGTGGGAGTGGAGCCTGAGCCATTTATACCAGGGAAGGGCCAGAGCTGTGACTAGTTTGCCTATGGCTTTGGCCTATATCCTCGTCGTTTCAGTTTCCTGGGCTTTGGTAGGGATGGTACCCCCCAGTGTGGCCTCACCACACACCTGAGCTCTTTGTCCAGCTCTGCCTCTGTCTTGCTGTGCGGCCTTGAACAAATCATTGCCTCTCTCTGAGACTCACTTTTCTCATCCATAAAATGAGGATAATTAGCCTGCCCTGCCCACCTCCCAGAGTGGCTGCCATGTCAGGGGTGTGGAAGGGCTTGGCACCAGTGAAGCACCACACCCCAAGATCTGGAATCTGCCCTGCATTGTGAGGCCACATCTGCAGCCAAAGTCTGGGGACTCTGCAGGTGGGATTTAGGTCCAGAGGGTGCTGACAAAGATGCTTCCAGAGCACCCTTCCTTTGTAGGTGTCCTGAGCTCTCATGCACATCTGCTCCAAGTCTGTCTCCCAGGTCTCAGACCTTCTTGGAAACTGAAGATTGGAGGGGTTGAGTAACTCGTGTGGATCACATAGCAGAGTAATAAGTGACAGAGCGCAGATCACCTCTCTCCTACCTCACACTCTGCTCTTTGCACTGTGTGCTCACCCCGGAGCTGCATAAAAGGAGGATCAGGGACTGTGGTCCCTGATGTGTCTGGAGGGACTTGGCTGCAGGGAGGGGCCGCCCAGGGCTTGAGCCCTAACTCCCAATCCTTGAGCAATCACTGACCTGAGGAAGCAATGGGTCTAAACTATTGTTTCTTGGGGAAACGATGAGTCTAAAACATTGCTTTTCGGCAAGGGCGGCACTGGGGGTAACTACGCTGTGTTAGTTTTATCACTGAAGGAGAGAAGCAAGATCTGACCCTGCCATAGGCCAGAAACTTCTGACACCCCTCCCTCCTTCCCCATAACTGCTAGGAGCACAGCGATGCCCTGGGAGCGAAGAGCACTTTGGGGCTGCCAGTGGCCGAGGGCAGAGACTTCTAAGGAAACCTTGAGTGTTAGAGGTGGTGTCAAGGATTAAGGGTCAAAAGGCGGAGACTGTGCATGAATGGGGGTCTCGACCTGGTCTCTGGCCTAGCCCTCTGGGCACCCAGCCAGAGGAGCTGAAAGGGGCCAGGTTTTGAAGCTTCCTTCCCGGCCCCCAAGATCCAGAGGAGAGCCCCTCTGTGTTGCCTTCCAAAGATGTCGTGTCCCGCCCTTCTCTCTGGGTATGCTGGCACCCCTAGCTGAGCAGTCCAGCCTGTCGCACTCCCACACCCTACCGGCACCATGGAAGCCTCTTGTTACGGAACAGGATCTTCCAGATGCCAGCCCAGTCTGATCAGCTCTAGGCTGCCCCAGCCTGCTGGGAGCCAGGGAAGAAGGGAGGCACCCCCTGTTGGCAGGACCTAGGCTGGCTGTCCAGGAGGCTGCCCTTTGGTCCCTGGGGCCCAGGCGCTCCCTGGGGGAGCACTGCATGTGACCCGTGATCGGGGGTGAGGAGATGGGGAGGGGAGGTCTGGGCTGTCTAGATCTCAGACACAGCACTCTGATGTCCATTCCCTCCTCTGCTCCTTATTCCTCTTTGAACTCCTGTCTTTCTTCCTCCAAACCACCATGCCTTTCTTAAGTTAAGCAGGGGGTCAGATGGGTCCTCTGTCCTACCCCTGCCACCCAGAATCTCTCCTCTGGTCCTGGAAACTGGCCGATGGCCTCTAACACAGGCCCCAGTCCTTGGGGTATGAGGCGCTCCCTCCCCTGTTCTGTACTTGCAGCCCCCACTGTGGCTAAGCCTACTGTAGCAGCCCCTTGCTCCCCTCTTTCCAGGCCTGGGGAACCTGCAGCCCTGGATGCAGGGCCTTATCGCCGTGGCCGTTTTCCTGGTCCTTGTTGCGATCGCCTTTGCCGTCAACCACTTCTGGTGCCAGGAGGAGCCGTGAGTGTTACCTGGAGACCCTGGGGGTTGGGCCAGCACAGGTAGGGTGGCCCCAGGACCACTGCTGCTGCTCCAGCAGCGGTGAGATGGGCCTCAGAAACCCTGAGTGTCCCCTAGACACTGAGGCCCAATGTCTAGAGGACTAGAGCACTGGCTTACTGGCTCCCAGACCTGTTCCCCCCAGCTCTGGTTCTCACTCACCGTGTGGTTGAAATGTCTTCTCTTCTTGGAGTTTGAATGTTTCTATCCGCACAGTTGGGACAGCCACACGGACTGTGACAGGAGCTGTGAAAACCCCTGGCTAGGAAGGTCTCGGCCTTCCTCGGCATCAGCCGCTGTGCTGCAGGCTGGGGTGCAGAGGGCAGCGGGACAGACACAACGCCCGCACCCACACATAGGCTCCCAGACTGGGAGGGGAGGTGGACTTGGAAGCAGCCATTGCAAGTGCAAGTACTGACGCTAAAGGGGCGTGCAGACTGCAGTGCAGGCCTGACCTGGTCTTGGGGGGCCATCCAAGAAGAACTCTGATTGCACCTTTATCCTAAAGCCTGAAGAATGAGGAGGAGCCGGTCTCTGGATAGGGTCGTGCTGGAAGGGACCTGAAGTCAGGGCAGAGTACACCTGGGGTCCTGAGTTTGAGGGAGGGCACAGAGGTAGAGGGTGGTGGGCCGAAATCTAGCCCCCTCTGCACTTATCGACCCTGGAGCAAGGCCACAGCTGCTCCCAGCTCTCATGCAGGTGGCCTGGTGCCCGGGTGCAAGCAGCAGCCTTGCATGGCCCACCGAGGGGACACAGCCATTTCATGGGTAGAAAGAGGGATCGAGAGATCCAAGATAAGCTGCTAAGCGAGGCAGGTCCTGGGCCAAGCAGACCCTTGTACACCAATGCCCGGAACTGTGGGCTTTCTTCTTAGTGCAGTAGGAATTCAGTGAAAGTATGTAGGCCGAGATGAGGTGCACTTGAGCAGAACCACTTTGGCTGCCCCATGGCAGATGTGTGGGTTGGAGGGCAGTCAGCAGGTGAGGAGAACAATGAGGAGGCTGAGCATGATGTCAGGAGAGTCTGGACAGTTGGAGGCAGCAGAGGGATGGAGAGAGGGAACAGGTCTAAGCTGTCTAGGAGGTGGACCCTTTGGGAGTTGGAGGAGGGGGGCAGCAGAGGGCAGGGGGGAGGAAGGACAGGGAAACATCCAGACTTCTGATGGGACCACTCCCTGAGACACTGAACACAAGAGGCAGATCTGGGGCGACTGCTGAGTTTAACTTGGGACATATTAGGGCTAGGATCGGGGAGAGGAGTTGAGACCCAAGCTCCAGGAGCAGAAATTGGGATGTCCAAGGAAAGATGAGCAGTGGTAAGGGGTCCCTGTGACCCTCGTGGAAGCAGTTTCTGGGGAGGTGGGGGCAGAGGCCACACTCAGTGGCTTTAAACATAAATAAGAGATCAGGAGCTTTTTGCTGGAAATGCTTCTTCTCTCCACTGACCCCAGCTGTGTGTCTTCAGCAGCTATTGACCATGGCTGCTTCTGTTGAGCAGGGAAAGCCCTGTGGAAATTGGGGGTGGGTGGGGGGTGGACCCTGAGTCCTGCAGGCTCTGCTCTGGAAGCTGAGCTGAGGCCAGAAGAACAGCAGAGGGAGGCTGGGAGGCATCCCTTGTGAGGCCTCTGATGGGGCGTGAGGCTCCCATCGTGGAGCAAGGAGGGAGAAGGATGTGAATAGGGCCGGAATCTGATGCTGACAGTGGCCCTGCAGGAGAGAGGGGCTTCTGACTCGAGAGAACCAGAGCCTAGAACGGGGCCTGACTGGACGGGGTGGGGGTCGGGGGCGGGAGGAGGGAAACAAATGTGGAGGGAAACAAATGGGGAGGGGACCTAGAGAGCCCTACTGATGAGCCCTACCCACAGGGAGCCTGTGAACATGGTCATGACTGCTGGGAACAAGGCGGAAGGGATTCTGGTAGGAACGGAAGGAAAGTATTCCTCGATGGCTGTCAACTTCAGGTGAGGTGCTGGTAGAGGGCTGATGACCCCGTGAGCTAAGGGGCCATGGGGACCTTGGACCCAGGTGCTTCTGAGTAGGGAGAGGGCGGGAAAGGATGGGGACTTGTGTGGGGAAGTGTGAGAGAGGCACTGGTAAGTGATGGGGGCTTCCTGAGGACTGCAGGGCTCCATGGGGACAGGAAGCCTCGGTTTGGGGAGATGGCCCAGGAAGGGGATGGGGGTGTGGTGGGGAGAGGCTCAGGGGGTGGACTGGGACTCATAAAGAGGAGTGCAGTGGGGTAAAGGGGCTCAAGGAGGGAAAGGGACTCTGACGGGATGAGTGGGGGACCGAGTGTGGGGAGAAGGATCCGTTAGGGTAGGGAGCTCAGTGGAGGAGGGAGGTGGGGTTCAGGGAGGTGGTGCTGAGAGGCCTCCATTGTCAGGTGTGTAAGAGCAGATGTGGTCGGGGAACCCCCTTCTGGGACTCAAACGTTTCTTCTGAAAGGTACTGTCCTCACAAGTGCAGGATGGGACAGGGAGAAGGGGACGGCATGGAAGGTGCAATGACCCTGTCATCCTCTTCCAGGTCCAGTGAGCATGAGAATGCCTATGAGAATGTCCCTGAGGAGGAGGGCAGGATGCGGAGCACCCCCATGTGACCGCGCTTGCCTGTGGCCCCCAGCGCTGATCCCGGGCACCTGTGATTGGTGCCACTCCTCTGTGCAGGAATCTTCAGTAAGGGGCTGACTCCTCCAAGCCCACATCTCCCCACCCTCCCCTGACTTGTCCCAGCCAAGGTCAGAATTCAGACTGTCTGGATTGAGGTTCGGCTGCGGCCCTGGGGTCTCCTACCCAATTGGATTCAGAAGACTCTTCTGGAGACAGCTCAGCACCTCCCATCCTGTTTCACATTTCCTCCCCGCAACTGTGGAAATAGCCCTTATTTCTGTGAAATAAAGACTTTTGTACGTCTGAGGCTGAGGCTTGAAGGCCTTAGAAACAGCCCCTCAGGCTTCCATCGAGCCCTGATCTTGCTTTCTGGATTATGCCAATCACCTCCAAAGCCGTTGTCATGGTGGCTTTGGAGGATTACCCAGGAAGCCCTCCCTGGGAGGTGCCCTGGGACCAGGGGGATCACCCACTCTACCTTTATTCTAGGCAGCACCAACCTTCTCCCGCTCCTGCCTCCATCCTGCCTGGCATTGTGGTGGGCTCATTCATTTCTCATCCACCTAGCTCTGTCCCCCTCCCCATAGTCTCTCTGGGAAGGCTTTGGGCATAGAAAGCACCAGGAAGTAGGCTTTGGCTAGGACTCAGGAAACCCAGATTTGAGTCCCGGGTCCCTTGCTGGCTTGCTGTGTGACCTTGGGAGAGTCACCGTCCTCTCTGAGCTCAGTTTTCTCTCTGTGGGGGGTTTGGCCAGTCTCACCACAGAGCCGGAGTGGAATGGTCCTCACCGATGCCACTGACTCCCAGTTCTGGGTGGGGGCAGAGTCAGGGTACTGGGTTCTAGCGGGAATGAAGAAGGAAGGAAGGGAGAGAAGAGGCATGACTGAGGGGCTGGCTGACCCTGGAGGCCCGTGACTGTTGTTTTCGTCTGGGGTGACAACCTGAGACAGACTCACCTGGGAGCACTCTCAGAGGCAGAGGAGTGGGGCTAGAGAGTAGGAGACAGTCCCCCTTGTCTTCGAGATCTCCCTCTCCCGCCTGTCTCAACCTGTCACAGCCCCCTCACTTTGCCGTTGCAGCCATTCCTTTGTTGTTCTAAGGCTTCTCTCCAATACCTCTGGGGGAGACCCCTCTGAAGTCCGAATTACTCCTTTTCTAATAACTGGGTCTAGTTTGCCACCTGCAGCAGTGAGGAGAGCCCAGAGCAGAGGGATGGCAGGGGCTTTGCTGGGGCCTGTCCCTGTCCTGCGGTGTAACCTGGGGGCAAGTCTCCTCCGCCCTCTGAGCTTCGGCTCAGTGACTTGAGGTTGTAGCTCTTGTGAGTCCCACTCTCGGCTTTTAGCTCATGTGGGTTGATGTCTTCTCATACACCTCTGCTAGTTTAAACTCTGCATATTTCTTTTTCTTGGCCCAGCCAAGGTTCCCCGTCTTCTAGAAAGTCTTTCTTGATTAGACCAGAGGGCAGAGCCAGGGGACCAAGCAGCCCAGCCTCTCACTCGGCAGACAGCCCCTTCTTCCGCTCAAGTCTCCTGGTCTGGGCCTTTTGGCGGCCTGGATCTGATTCTCCTCGCATAAAGCCACATTCCCTCCCACTGCTGCCCCCAGCTATCATTGAGAAGGGGGTGGTACCCCCACCAGCCTGCCTGCCTGAAGGCAGAGCCACCATTCCTCTGTGTCTCTGCAGCAGGAGAAGCCAGCCCTTCTTCCCTGTGAGGTTTTACCAGCAAGAGCCTGGGGCAGCTGCTGTCCTGCCCTGGTTCCTGGGGCAGGTCCCCCAGCACCCTGCCCGGGCCTCCTCAGCCCCCTACCCATGCTAGCAGGACCAGGATGGAGGGAATTCTGGGGATCCTGGCAGGGACTGGGCTGGCACTGACCTTCCTCCCCCTACTCCATGTTTCCTGCCCTGACAGGGGGCAGGGGGCATGAGGCATGGAGCTGCCGACCCCAGAACGACGGAGCCCCCAATCCTTATCACTAGTTCCCACCTGCCCGCCTGGCCAGATGAGGGAGGGAAAGGAGGCTGGGCCCGGGCCAGGGCGGCGCTTAATGACCCTCCCGGGGCCTAATCTCAGGCTGGCAGCCGCTGAGTAGCTCGGGCTTGCTCCTGGAGGAGGCTGATAACGCACCAGCTGGGCCCCCATCATCTATCGGGGCCGCACAGCCAGTCCCCAGGGGGCAGCGCTCAGGGGGCCTGGGCAGGGGGAGCCTCTGGGCTGGGACCCTGAAGGAGGTGAGCTCTCCGCCCCTGGCCAGGGGGCGGGGATAGGCGATTCTGAGGTGACAGATGAGGGGGAGGAACAGGGCAGGCAGAATGGTGGGCGGGGCCGGCAGGAACCCCCAAATGGCGGGTGCTCCTTCACGCCTTCCGGCTCCCTCCCCACCCTTTTCTCCCCATTCGGGACTTCCCCCACCCAGTCCCGGTCTCCTCTCGGGCTCTCCCAGCCTTTATCGATTTCAGATCTCCGTCTTTCTGTTTCTGTCTTTGTGAGTGCCGGCTCCTGGCCTCTGTTTTTGTCTCCATCTCCTTGTCTCTGCACCGGCTCCCCCTTTTCCTCCCTCCCCGTGAGCTCAGTGCTCACCGTCCCTCTCTCCCCTTGCATCTTTTATCTGTTTCCAGATGGTTCTCCCCGTTGGCCCTTCCCCAGCTCTTCGCACCTGTCCAAGCTACCCTGACGCTGCCCTTGGCCGGGGAAGTGCCCTGATCCCTCCGCCTGCTCTCGGGGCAAAACGCTCAGGTTGTCCAGGCCCTGTAACTACCAGAGAAGACAGGCCGCTCCTAGCACCTCCACCTCCCCGGAGTGTGGACCCCGGGCGTTCCAGAGCCACAATTCAGCATGATCTCTTGTCATCCCAGAGGCCCCGGGGCTCCTTCCTAAGGCCTATGCTCCTTCCTGCTTTCCGCATGGGAATTCAGACTTTAGGACTGAAGTGGGCACCTCCCTCTCCCTCGCCTTTCTGCCTGGGACGGTCGTAATGGTCCCCGTGTACGCATTCCAAATGAAGAAATGAAAGGCTCAA